TAGTCCAACGTGGAAGACTGCTTCAGGTGAAAGCTAAGAAGAAAGCGTCTGGTAATAAGAAAGCTGCTACAGTGACACATCGTGTTAAAAATGCTGTTCAGGTAATGCAGACTGATGAATGTGTACTAGTTTATACTAATTTATGTGGCTCACTCAGGTCAGTTGTTGCTACATGAATGAAAAAGGCATAGGTTATGTGAAGGGTTCACCAATGTACGAAGTTGATTTCCTAAAAACTGATTCTTATTCAACAGTTGTTTCAAAAATTGCTATAGCACTTGAGGTTGACAATCCAGACATGGTGCTTCTGACCACAAGAGGCTGTATCATTAGAGATGAGCTTATTGATACTGGTGGGGGGAAAATACAAGCATGGACATTAGGAGGATACTTGGGGAAGCGGCACATTGCTCCAGAAAAGCTATCATTAGGTATTGGTAAATGTGTTTCATCACTGCCTCCTAAGAAAAGGAAAATTCAAAGTATGTTATACTTGTGCATTTGAATTAATGATTATTATCACTAATAATAGAAATAGATAGTGGTTTCTTGGATGAATCTTATGGTGACAGTAGATGTGACACTAATGTTGGTGGTTATCTGGATGAGTCAGAAAGCAATAGTATTGCTAATACTAAAGAAGACAAGGATGTGATTGAAGGTATATAATATGAGTCGTATATTGTTGATTATGTTGATAATGTTACAGTATTTTATTGTTATGAAGACGATTGCATTCCCTTGACTCGGGATGAAGTGTGGTCTAAAATAAATGGTATGCCAGGATTAATGGATACTTCTGTTGGTGCATTTAATCCACCTGTTGGGTTTGAGGTTTTTAAAATCAATATAAAACGAGGTAATAGTAAGTGTATAAATTAATGGGAACTATCTTGCTTTTAGGAGATGATATCACTACTGTCTTTGGACCTGACATTTCAAGTGAGAAAAGTAGTCATATAGATGGTTCATATACAAAATCTGCAGGTTCTTTTACTTCTGAAAGTGATCCCCTTGTTACAAGACCCGATAAACCTATCCCTCTTGTTGCCATTTATCCTGAAAAATGCAAATACAAGTGGCATTGTCCGATGAATAAAAATTTAGAATTTCCGTATTTTCCAGTCATCTATGTTAATAAGCCCCTCTTGTATGTCTGTGAAGTGTACATAAATGACCAAAAGAAGTCTACAGCAATTTTTGATGTTAAACTAGCTCCTAACTTTGGTGAGTGTACTTATTCCACCAACATTCTTGTCATGATTTCAATCAATGTGTAGATCAGTGTGAATTGACCAGTGTTGCAAGTAAAATTATAATTGTTCTTAATTTCATTTATCATTCTTTCAGCTCCAGCATCTTATTCTTATCAGCACAGGCCAGTAAAAACAGTCCAGATGGCTGCACCATACTGTATAACTGTTTCTAAATTGGTTTTACCTTTAAATCCTTGTTAATAGTTCAGTCCTTAGAGTTTACTCAAGAGGAAATAATGTAAGCTACAAATAATTTGTCAACTGAATTAGGGAGTGGTGGATTTGGTAAAGTCTTCCTTGCTAATAACTTAAGAAGCAAAGGCACAAAAGCAGCAGTAAAAGTACTAACCACAGTATAATATTTTATGATTTGGCATTAATGCATTCATATTATGTCATTAGGAAGGAGCTCAAGCACTGATTGGTAGTACCCCGTCAGCACAAATTAAAGCAGAGTTGTCTGCCCTTATGAAGTACATCATTGTGTAAAAATGAACTCCATCATATATTGATTATTTTAGGTTCAGGCATGAGAATGTGTTGGAAGTAATGGGATTTTGCTTTTCAGAGAACTTCAGGGCGCTAATTTATCAGTACATGGCGAATGATACTTTGTTTGCCTGGATTCATCAGGTACACCTCATTGTACATTGTTGAACACTGCTTCAGATATTGCATTGTAGCCATCAAAAAGTTTAGGATTTACTGTCAGAAAGTCTATACTGATAGACATGTTTAGAGGTGTATCATATCTACATGCTGGACAACTTATTCACCAAGATATAAAAAGGTAGTTGTAATTACATTTACATTATGTATTATCTTCATTTTGTAAATAAAGTAGCAACATTTTACTTGATGAGCACTTCAATGCTCGAGTCGGAGACTTTGGCATTGCCTATGAAGTGCCATCATCTATATCTGGACGTACACTAGTCACTGCTCCACTTCTTGCTAGAAGTGATGGCTATTACCCACCTAAAATTCTTACTGGAAAAGTTTCAGCACTATCTGATGTTTACAGTTGTGGTGTAGTAAGCTCTTAATTTTTTATTCATATATGTATGTGTATGTGTATGTAGGTGGTATTGGAGGTTTATTGTGGAATGGTGGCATATCAGAAAGATAGAGCGGATCCTGATCTGGTTTGCATTGAAATTTTGATTGTAACAATTATCATAGTAATTATTTATAGGTAAACTTTACTGAAGATCAGAGGGCTGATTCTAAAGCTTTCTTTTCAATGGCTGACATTCATGTGAGGGAATCTTTATCTCAGGAAGATGCAGAAATGTTTAGAAGTGTTGTAAATGGATGTGTTCAGCGTTATAGCAAGAGGTGGACAGCAACAAAGGTAAAAAATATGTAACAATTTTCATGTTAAATGTTGACATTAGGTACTTGATGTACTCCATGATGACAATGACATATAAACTACTACTACTAGGCTCTGTATATCATTTATTCATTATTTAGTATCATTTTGCAACATGTATTTTCATTCAATCATAATTAATTCAACTCTATGTTATTTACAATATGTGACCATAATTGACAAAAGGTACCTTATGGTGGGTAGTGAAATTTGTCTTTCTAGCCTAAGAAATCCAACTTCCTGAGTCCCATTTATCATAAAATTACTCCACAAGATGCAAAAAGTTACCATGAAACTTTTAGAAACAATGATTGTCTAACAAAGCACTCACAGGTTGATATTTTCCAATATAACGATCAATTTTAAAATCCGCCATAAGGGCCCTTTTGTCAATTATGGTCACATATACAAATATATATCTTCAATGTTACTATGTGTAATATCCTCTTGCTTCAATCCAAGTGATGACTCAAGAAGATTATCTACCACTTCCTTGAATGAGTTGGAATAAAAATCTGGCTTGGACACGCTTTCATTTCTCATCGCATAAATCAATAAAGGAACATCAATTGGTTGAATAATCTTTATAGGGTGTCCACAAGAAAAACTGCTCCCTAATAACACCTGTAAAATGGTAAAAATATAAAGAGATTACTCGGTGACTCACTTTCCTCGATGTTAGCCAATATAATTATGAAAACTCTTAAATGTTTCCAAACAGCTCTATACCCTTTAGCTTTTTCAGAAATTTCAAGAATTTTAATTATCAGTGCCTTAACAACAGAATACCGTAATTGGAATCAGACGTCGGGAAATCATCTTACCCTCCCGGAAATTGTGTTACCCGGGCGGGAAAGTAGCCGTGTACGGGTTTCGGGTCCGTTGACGGGGTGACCTTCTCGGCAACCATGTCCGTCAACGGATTATACTTCTGGGCCACCATAGGTACTAGAGGAAGATTGCATGACAGTGGACTGTCAGTTGCCTGTGGTTAGTTCAGTGATGAATAGATGATGATCCCACCGTAAGTCACTTTAAGATGCTGCTATACCTCTCTAATAAATCTGTGACTGCTCACAACAATGAGGAAGACCTTTGATCATTTTAAAACTTTTAATTTACTATAATTTTCGTTTCAATAATAATTACAATACCTGTGATGTGCTGTATTTGAGATAATCATATTCACAGTTGGTGAACACAATATAAATAAACATTTCACCTATAATTAGTAGCTACTTAATTCACATGTGACCACCAAATCTGCACTTTAAATACCTTAGGTTGGATTATATTCGTGATGACAAAAACTAATAAAAATATTAAATTAAATACCATGGAAATCCAGTAAGTGTTAGTATGACAATTGACCACGTGTTTATATAATTACAGTGTTAGCAGCTACAGTACAATGCAAAAAAGAGCTAAGTAGCTCTACTGTCACGTAGGTAGTTTGCTGCTTCTTTGTTGCGTATATACAAAGCTGCAAACCCACCAGTGGTACCAGTGCAAATTGTCAGCAGCAGGACAATGTGTCAACAGTGAATCAAGCAAAGAGCCTCCTAAACAGGCTTCTAAAAGCAGAGAGCAGCAATACAGATGAACTTGGAGAGCACAGACAGCCAAGAAAAGCATACAAGTTCTTTGAGAGCCTCTAGAGCGCATGAGCGCTTGCTACTACAAGGCAGTACTTCCTGGGTGTAGCTCAGCAAAGAGTAGTGAAGTAAAATTACTAATAACGAACTACCTGTGTACTACTTAAGCTACTTGGCTTTTTTCGTCTTCCACTGTAATCATCTATTCTTTAGCAACTTTAGTGGAACCATCCAGACTCCAGTTCTCTATCTGTTATCTTCTTGTATAGATGGACCACTACCTTTGAGCTCTTTGCTGCAAAATCAGTGTTGGTCCGTTGATCATGATTATAAACCACACCCAAGTCAATAAACACTAACTAGAATGGGTGGAGAGTCCCAAGATACAGTGGGACAGAATGAGTAGAGTATTTCAAAAAAGAACTGACCAAAACAGCACCAAAGAGTCCAAGGATTAGTAACAGCAAGACAAATCACAACTCAAGAACACTGTAGCTTGGTGCCGTGCTTAAATACCACACCGTTTTCAAGTAAAATGGCATCCAGTTGCGCTAGCGGTGGGAAAAATTCGCGAATATTAGCAGCCGTGAATATAACTAGACCTACGATAACAGTAAAAAGTCAGTGTAGCTATACCACAGCCTTAAAAACACCACACTCTGACAATAGAAGCATCATCCTCTTGTAATAAAATGAGTGTATTCTTCTCTTTTCTTTCACTTATATCAGCTTCCAAAACATGACTTGTGACAAATAAAGAGCGATTCTTGTTTCTTAGCTGACTTGAAATACTTTAATAGAGCTACAGTACAGATAAAAAAGGTTAAATATCTGCTCCACAGTTACTCTACTGTTGCGTAGGTAGTTCATTGCTCTTTTGTTACACATGCACAATGTGACAGTAGTAGTAGCACAGGTGGTCAGTAGCAGGACAGTAGCTGGACGGTAGGATGGAGCAAAAAAACATCCTAAACAGGCTTCTAAAGCAGAGAGTGGCAGTACAGATGAATTTGGACAGCACAGACAGCAAAGAGAAACATCCTCAAGTTCTTTGAGAGTCTCTAGAGCACGCGAGTGCTTGCTACTACAGAACATATGTACCACAGTAAAGAGTAACGAAGAGTAGTCAAGTAATACAACAGTAGTTTCAAGTGCTTTAAGGAGCAATCAGAAGTACCAGTATGCTTGAAATTATCTTAAACCCACCCATAATTCACAAAAATGAAGGAAAACGCTGTTTTATTGCCGTAAAATGAGAGTGTGGCCAAAATCATGGCACATTTTACGCACCTTTAAAATTGTGCTGCAAGACCAATAATGGCACAAGGAGTGGAGTCTCAACAGCCAATACAGCACAAGACAAAAATATGTGAAAAATCCTTTATGTGGCCATCACCAAGACACCAACCCACACATACTTATCATAAGATACAACGTGACAACTAGTGCATGTGTGAGCATAAACATACAGATTACAGCGAGTGAGGAAGCTCATAAATTACATAAAAAATATAAGTCATTCGTGTCATGTACATGTACCCTACATGTAACTACAATTTAAAACTTGGGTACTAGTTATTAAGAAAAACACCAGTTCCACTATTTAACACTACAATAGTACATATTCCTACTCACCTTTCATGTTGAAGCTTCTTTATGAGATTAACAATAGAATTCTCTTTCAGAGCAGCTTCATTCCTTACAATCCAAAAGTCAGAGCCTTTATTCTTCCATTCCTGCAGTATATCGTTCAAAGCCACACACAATGATGGACTGCCATTCAGGATCTCTACTATCTTAGGAAGACTATAAAATAAAGTAATAAAAATAATTAAAAGTAATAAACCAAGAATCTTCAGTTTAATTATTCTGGTCATGCAAGTAAACCACTTGTTAAGTTAATGCCATTCTGAAAACCCTTGCCAATAAAAGAGAAAGAAGATACTCATTAAACTATCACACACATTAAAATCTCAATATTGCTGCCAGATTGAGATTGCCATGCATACATGCATAGTGGCCTACTGTATATGCAATCATAGACCATACTGATCTGTATTACATATACATGACATGTACATGTACATAACTTTTTGTACCAATAACTACTACTGTACATGAACTACTTTCTATTTAAAATCACAACTTACACTTCTAATGAATACACAGTGATTTTATCTTTTGCTTTCGCCTCCCATAGCACAGGAGATTGTGAATCAACTATCAACTGATAGAGCTCTGGTACTTTGTCAAGATAAATCGGTTGGCCGGATGGTGAGTTGGGCTTCTTATTAAGATGATAATGGAGGAGATCAAACTCCCAGAACCATGATGATATCTCCTTGCTAATAGCACATGGTGTATCATTGTGGTCTATTAAATGAAGAGTGTAAGGCTTTGGAAGTACAACTCTAAAAAGAGAAGAATTTGTATTAATTGTTACATTAAGGTGAAATAATTATTGTACATGTACAGTAAAAGCATGCTGCTTCATATAACAGGATCATAAGTCAGAATTCATATAGATATATAATACACATATATCGAAGCCTGAAATTAGATTCAGACAATAATATTATGTCTGAACATTGCTTGATTTGATTTGCCAATTTTATGAAAGAGTCCCACTAAGTTTCCCACAAGTTTTTGTTATAGTGCTCATGCAGCAGATTGCTGAGTTACTCAAAATTGAACCTAAAACCTAAAATTTTTTCTGATACATATACATGTTGTGTGTTGACTTTGAGCTAATTTTAATAAAATCTGGATCTTTTATGAATTTTCTAAAGTTGCTCAAAAATTGGGCCAAAGTTCCTGTACAGGGTTTTGGCTAAATTTCGTGAAAAATTGCTAAAAGAAAATTCTTAGTTTCTACATTTTTTTTGATACATATACATGTTCTTATGTTGTGTGTCAACTCAGAGATCAAATTTCAGTTTTTATAAATTTTTAAAGGTGCTATACCGTATTAAATACCAGGAAAGATCTTTAGAAAAATCCAATAAAACCAACATTATAAAATGTGAGATATTTTTAGATCAAAGATAATACATCAAGGATAATACACTTTGGAGCTACCTATTAAGTAAATCCTACATACAAGGTTGCCTATATTGGCAGAAATATGCATGCCCATAGTTGCAATACATGTATATAATGATGAGTATTTCTAAGAAAGGCAACATGCTAATAACAATTAGGTTATAGACTTACTTCTTCATAAGCACCCTCTTTTCAAACTTCTTCATATCAACAGGAACTTCATCATTGGCACTAGAAACCTGAGGAGGCTGTGGTACATTCTCTTTGTTACTGTTGTTGACTTTAGCAGGGGCCACAGTAGCCAGTGGTGGAATATGCTGGAGTGGCTGTACAGTAGCTAATGGAGGAGGGCCAGCAGCCTGCATTGTACTAGCTGGAGTGAAAGTCGGAGCAAAAGTAGAAGGTAGAGGAGAAGGAGGTATCACAGGTTGAGGTGGCTGCATGTGTATCATTCCTCCTGGATAGAAATTAGCTGGATAAGGATGAAGAGGCTTGTCAAAGCCAGGAGGAGCAGGAACAGAAACATTAATAGGAAGAGGAGGATTAGGGAGAAGTGACGACGGTCCATAAAAATAAGGTGGAGCAAGTGATGGATGTTGCATTTGCTGTTGCATGAACATTAACTGATAGAACTGTTGAGGTGATGGATGAGTAAGTGGAGGAAAGTACTGTTTAGAAGCAGATTCAGCAACTGAACTAACTGTGTGTGGCAAACGAACCTCTTTCTCTTCAGATGATACCTAAAAATGAAGATAAAATAAATGATAATACTAAAAATATACCCTATATGTGCAAATTATCGAAGGGATAAATTTTTGCAAATGATTAATTTGCAGGATTTTGTGAGGCCAAATTTTTGCGAATTATTTTGAAGTGCCACCATTTTTGTAATAAAGTGGAGAGTTAGAATTAATTTTCGTGTGTTTTAATTTCACGAATGACTCCCATTTCGCAAAAATTTACCCTTCAAAAATTTCCACATATAGGGTATGTACCATTCAAAGTAAAATTCACAACATCATCATCACATGCTATAATAGAAATTACATTTTACAAACCTCAACTGGAGGATGTTCCATTTGATAACTATCAAGACTCTCTTTTCCAGCATCAGATGACAAACAAGCTAGTCCTTCTTCAATGAGATAATCATTAATGTGGATATCTTTATCAGTAGTTGTGTCACATAAGCACAGTGAAACCACATCACCCTACACCAAATCTATTCAATACAATATCCAACATAATTCGCCTTACTTTAGTGGAAGTGGCCATGGCAGCTATAGCTTTATCTTTAGTCATTTCTACAAGGATCCTACAAGCTCTCTTAGACCAAGTGCTGCCTGGCGGACAGATGTTGGCTAATCTGCACTCAATACATTGAGCTGGAAGAGCTAAGTAGTGAGGTCTAAAGAAATAAAAATAGATAACATTAACATACTGTACATTAATAACTGCTAGCATTAAAGATTTCTTTCCACATGCACTACATGTATGTCATTTATAAAGTTCATAAAGAATAATAAGTTCCATATTTTTACTCACTTTGGTTGCCTGATTGCATTCAAAGGGACAAAGTCATTGTTTCCATAGTCGACGTATCTGATCTGAACAACATCAGGTTGAGAGTGTTCAAGTATAGTAGCTCTGTACCAGTATCCATCATTGTTAAATCTAGCACAGCAAGGCTACAGAAATTATAAATTTACAATGAATAAATTATAAAAACTGTAAAATCTAATGATGATCAATGTTTCTAACAAAGAGTGCTAAGTGAATAAAACAGTATTGCTTCATGAGCTGATATGCAATACACATTACATGACATTTTGAGCAACTTTTACACGACGTTTTGAGCAACTTTAAATAAATACTATAAAACTATTGGAAACATTCAATGACTGACACTAAAAGTAGCCCATATGAAGATAGCAGTTTCAATAATAACAAGAATAATGCTACATGACACAAGTATTTAGAAGCTATTTAGCGACTAGTTGCACTAAATTATGCCAATATATTGACATACAATATCCCATTTAATGACTTTTGTGTCCTACATGTACATCTACATGAATAGTATATTTAAAAATTGTACATTTATACTATACAAGTCTAACACACTACAAACTAATCAGTATCACGGTAGCGTTACTAAGTAGGATTCACCCTAAAACAATATGGCTGCCACGACTTTTGTAGGCCTCGACTTTCTCGGGTTTAACCCGTTGTTGCCCTATTTTAACATCACAAAAATATCATAAGACTTTCGATTAACTCTTTATTAATGGCTTAATAACTATTTATTCAAAATGGCATCAAAGCATGAAAGGAAGAGAAAAACACTATATGACTTAAGTACAGCAAAGGTACATGCATATTATCCACTCTTGAATATAATAACGGAGAATGTTTAGATGTCTTAGATCCATCATTACTCTACATTAAGTTCTTTTTAAGTTAAATATATATTTATATTATTCATAACCTTTTTGACACTGTTGCTATAGCAACATATACATGCATAGTAATCATACTGAGTTTGCAAAATGGGAAAACCAGGTTGGCTTATAGTAGGAATCACTACAATAGTTGTCCTATTAGCTGCTATCCTTGCAATCCAAATTGCTGATTTTTCTACCACTTGTTCTTGTGATTCACTTAATGATGCTCATCATACTCTACGTACTCCAGTGGATACCAGTTATGATAATGCTAGAAGTATTAATAGTTTAGAGTCTGCTACTGGAGACTCCTCACAAAGATTGGATGACATTTCTGAATATCTTACTGATCTACACAACACTAGTATGACAACTGCTAACATGACTGGAGAGATACTGCAGATAGCAGAGGAGTTGTCACAAATACCAAACCTGACAAGTCTATATCCCCAATGGCTACCAAAGTCTTGTCGGGAAATAAGAATTAGACAACCAAGCAGTAAATCTGGTGTATATCAAATTGGTATACCCTCAGTAGGCAAGTATACTAGCTGTTCTCGCTATGTGTACTGTCATATGGGTCCATTGTCTGGTATAGATGGTGGGTGGACACGAGTAGATCGCTTTGATAGCCGCTACTCAGATTGTCCACCTGGAACCCAGTTGATTCCACATCCTAATGTAAAAGTTTGTGGTAGGCCTGAACATAGTCCCCCTGGCTGTACATCAATTAGATTCCCAAATTATGGTCTCGCTTATGTGGATGTCATTGGTGTAGTATATGCTTATCAGTACGGATCACCTGATGCTGATGAGCCACCAGATCGTGGAGGTCGAAACAACATAAACGATGCATATATTGATGGTATTAGTATCACTCGTAATCCTCGTCATCATCTCAGTAGTCGTACTCATATTTTTTCTCTAATGGCAGATAATAGCGATTATCACTGTCCCTGTAAGGCTGGTAGAAATGGTCCAACTTTACCTTTTATTGGTAATGATTATTACTGTGAAGCTGGCAATCCTGATTCCTGGACTCGTCGTGTTCTCTACCCAGATAATTTACTCTGGGATGGTCAAGGATGTGAAGGTCCTGACATTGGATGTTGCACTACTCCTACAAATGCTGCTAAGAGGCCTTGGTTTTACAAAAGAACTGGTCCCACTACTGATGACCTTGAGCTAAGGTTGTGTGATGATCAAGGAACTGATGATGAAGGTGTTCCTTTTTCTCATTATGAAATTTATGTCCAATAAACTGCCACCGTATTAACTAGAAAATCTATTTGCTATAGTTTATAACCATATTTTTATCGCTGCTATATAATATACTGCTGTAAGACTTATGTACATGCTATCAAGTTACATGTTGTTGTTGCTGTCAGACCTCACATGCTACAGCTATGAATAATCACAGGCAGATTATTATATAGGTGGTAGCCCATATGTAGGGTTGAGGTTGATTTTTCAATTATAACCATGTTTAATATTGATTGGACCTATCAGCTTTCAAATAATTATGGTATAGACCATACAGACGACCCAGAGTCAGAATTGCTTGCGTGGAAAAACTATTAATGTTGTCAGGCCTGATTTAGGATGAAATAAATTCTGGCTGCCATTTTGTTATGGAAGTCAATGGAGGCACAAAGAAAATGCCTCACTTACCTGCTGTAGCTCTATCAAAAGCTAAAAAGTGCTTGTTATGGGGAAAGAATAGCTGGTTTTAAGCTCCTCCTGTAAAAGATTTGCTCCAGAAATCATACTACAGGTTTGTTTTTATGTTGGCCCATTTTTTTTCTCCATTGCAAGTTGCCAACAAACTTGCCAACCAAAATGGCAGCCAATTATAATGTATAGGTGGATAACGTATATAAAATTAACGAAATTCATAGCTTTTGCAATTCTCACTCTGAGTGGTCTATTATGAATATGTACTATATATAGACAGTGTCTAGGCAATCCTTCTCAACTGAAGTTTCTCGGTATCCAATTATAGCCTTATGCAGTATTCAATTTATAGCCACATGCAGTATATAGCCTACACATAAGTTTTACTGTACAAAATAGATATAATCAAATAATTAAACAGGGAGTTAGTAACTTCAAAAAAAATTAAAAATTTATCTTACAAGGTGGAATGCTACTTAATGGTATTCATAAGTTGTTGCCATGGAAATTTTATTTTGCAACAAAGCTAGTGCAAGATGGAGAAAGCAACTGAACTAAAAGATTTAAACCAACCTAATGCCACAACTACTAAAGACAACTCAAAAGACAGGCCTTCTCTGATAACCCGTTAGATTGTCATCTTTTTTATTGCTCAGATTGCTTTACTGGTTTTTTTCATGCTATAAAGATTGCTGACTTATCTACCAAATGTGACTCTGCTTGTGATGCTTGTTCAGCTGAAGGTGGAGGTGTCCCTAATCTCCAAAGTGCAGTTAATAGTCATGCAGAAGCTAACTATAATAATTCCAAAAACCAACTACCGGAGACTCAACACAAAAGCTTGACAACGTTTCTGATGCTATATCTAGCTTAGAAGATGCTGATATGTCTGCCGCTAGTGACAAATATGTACGACAGGTTTACCAGCAACTATCACAATTACAAAGTGTACCAAGTTTACTATTGACTGCTTGTAAGACACTAAAAAGAACAGATTTCTGGTCTTAAATCAGGCTACTGTTCGTTGTCGAGCATGTAGTATATTTAAAATACATGTACATTATGATTAATAGCTTACAATACTTAATAACAAATAGCAAAAAGTACATTATAATAAATTGCAAACGGAACATTATGACTATTACCTTACTGCACATTATAGCATACCAGTAATTATGATTAATACTTACAGTATACAATGATAAATGGCAAACAGTACCATATAATAAATAGGATACAGTACATTATGAGGAAGATGAATAGCAAACAGTACATTATGATTAATAGCCAACAGTACATGATTAATAGCTTACAATCCATTATAACAAATAGCAAGCAGTATACTACATAATAAGAAGTATACAGTACAAATACGATAGATAGCATGAATTATATTAATAGCCAACAGGACATTATGATTAACAGCTTACAGTCCGATATACATAACAAACACCAGAATAACATTATAATAAAAAGCATAAAGTACATAATGAATTATGATTAATAGCAAGAAGTACAAAAGTAAAAGTTAGTAATGAATTTTATCCTTCAAACTTGTAGTTTTGGAGAAATATGCACTTGAAATTTACATGTAAACCAATGCAATTGCTTATTGCTCACAAACTAAAATTAACGTTTGTTGACAAAAATACTTGTTGTGCTTAACAAAGATACTAATACATGTAGGTTGTTGTGCTAAAGTTTTGTGGAAATCCCTTCACATCACCAAAACTCCCAAAAATTAAAAAATACCATAGACTATATAATACAAAAATTTTTGTATTTGATGATTTAAAACTTACTGATCCAATCTCTGGATTAGATACCACTAGCTTGTCACCACTTATTCCATTATAAAAGTGAGCCATGTCATCATGCAGTGAATCAAGAGCTTGTGTTGTCTGTTCTCCTATTATCTGAATACACAGGTAACTTGGTGTCTTCACATACGTTACATATACACCAAACGGTTTAGAGCCTTTTGGAATCGACAGAACCGAATAACTGAATTCAGGCTTAGGATTAGGCAAGATCTAAAATTAAGAAATTTGTTAATTAAAATGCATAATATAAAAGTTGTCATTGTGTATTCACAACATTCTTGCTATAATTATAAAAGTAAAATTTCATGGGGCCAAAATAGGAAAAATATCTATTAGTACATGTACATGAATAATGGGTTAAAATATCTTAAATTAATTAACATCTATAGCAGAGAAGAGGACTAATAAATTTATTAATTGCATCACCTAGCCATTTTTGACAAAATAGTTGACATTATTAATAATTCATAAAATTCAATTTTGATCAAAATAAGCTTAAATTTTTGACAATTTAAAAATAACATTTATGAAGTCTATGCACAAAATTTAGCAAGCATTGAAAAATCATCAACATAATCAACAAAATCAATTACCGTAGATAGGGAAATTTTTGTTGTTAAAATATTTTCGTGGTTAAAGTGACCCATGAAATATTGACACACAAAATATTCTAAAAGCCCAATGAAGGCATGAAGCTCTCATCCAAGAGGCTCCTTGTCAGTTTCAGTGCTCTCATGGGCAGGGCCGCCAATAGGCTACGTGGGGCCCAGGGCAAAAACTTTGATGGGGCCCCACTAATACAAATCTCCCCCCTTATTAATAACAGCGATTAACAAAATGGCCCAGCAAGAGTTAACTTTAAAAAGTTGTCATGATTCTTTGATCTTTTCCTGTGAAAAAATTATGCATACTTTACTACTGACCAGGTGCTTGGGGGCCCAGGGCAAAATGCCCCACCTGCCCCCCTATTGGCAGCCCTGCTCATGGGCAACTTCCATTGAATAGCTGACCATTGTCATCAAGAGTTAGTAGCTACATGTATGTGTCTAGTTTATGACACACCCAAAATTTTTCATGTTGAAAAAATTCGTGGATGGATCAACCCAAAAAAATTAAACACTTTTACAAATTTCATGCCAATTATTTTTAACATAAAAATTTCCCAATCTACGGTATAATCTATTGGCAAGAAAAAACTACCAATCAAAAAATACACCATTTCATTTCAATCTGAGCATGCTTAATGACAGATGGGACTAAATACAAAATTAGACTCAATTAAAAACTGGAATAAATGTGGAGCAAATCATGTTCATAATACAAAAAATGCCTTATAAGTGTACATGTACACATGTAAATAATGCAAACTAAGCACAGTAACAGTATATTTACTACATTAAAAATTTTACTGCAAATGTACATAACTACAATGAAGCATGAATTTTTAAAATAAAAAAACCAAGATGCAATAGATATACATGTACATGTACATTGTATATGCATTAAAATAAATTACCTTTTTTGCAGTACATGTATCCGAGAGTGTCTTTCCCTTAGTAGCTACTTCCTCCTCCTTCTTGACTTCTTTTTCAGGCTGAGTCACTTTAATAACTTTCTCCTTCTTCTCATCTTCAATTACACTAATCTCTGGTATGTAAGCTAGAAACTCTTCAACTGTACTGAAGCCATACTCAATCAGTGGGAGCTCCCTCGACGTTATTTTCTAAATAAATGAACACAGTAAGTAATAATAGATTATTTAAACTAAACAGGCAAAGACACACAACACAACACAGTCCATATCACTAACACAAATTTATGTACACGTAGATTGTGTACATTGCATCATAGCTAAAAAATTCCTCATATAATTTCAATCATTATTAATAATAAAATTAAAGGTACATTATACACCATCACATTAACGAACTTCAAAAAACTTTGGAAACTGGTGAACAGGAACAGGTGGAGATCCTTCTAATATTCTACACACTAGCAGTGACAATGTTTCAGGAATGGATGTAGGCTTCTTCATTAATGCAGTTGCTGCAGAAACACCTGTAATAAAAAAATAAACACTGAATTGTAAATGTTAATTGTACATCTGTATGTGCAAAAAAAGAGTCACAACTAATTCTTTATACATCATTTTGATTATTTTAAAGTGTAACAACATACTCTACATGCCCAATTTACATACATGTACTACAATGTATACAGTTAAGTACATGTAAATGTAATCCAACAATGTAAACACCTTTACTTTGAGAAAACAAAATAGTCTTAAAAACAAAAATAGTTCACAGAACCATTACATAAATCTCCATTTTAAATGCTACATGTGCAAGTACAAAACCTACCAGCAGTGTCTTGTTTTTTAGCAAATACAAGATACTCTCCATCTTTTGTTGGTTTCTCTAAGTCAGCAATATCTGTCATCTCAAACAACATCTCCACAATGCTAGCATACCCTAAAGACTGCCATGGTAGGTCCTCATTAAAGTAATTCTAAAAAAGCAACATACATGTATTACGAGCACTGTAATCCAAGAACAAGTAATACCTTGTATTTAGTTGGAATATCAGAAGCTTTAACACCACTCTTTGAAGACTTCAGGACCTACATGTACAAGTACATGTGTACATTAATACATAGAGGTAATACATTAGTTATACATAATTTAAATTGCCAAAAAATAAGACAAATATTATGTGCAATAACAGACACAGAAAAATTGTTTCTATAAAATGCGTGAAGTAAGCTTTTGAAATGAAAAGACATGTGCAGTCACATACATGGAGATATTAATACAATATGTCAGTTATTTTAAATGGTGTAAATACATACTAGTGCATTGGCTAAATCAATCAAAATTTATATGTATCACACAGCCAACGATAATACATTTCGATTAGAACAAAATAACATCAACATACATGTAACATGTGATGAAACAAAGCTATCACTGTCATGCATATTATTTATTCTATGCAATTTCAATTAAAAAAACAAAAAATATAAACACAAATGCCTTTAAATACACTTACAGGTATGTAACACAACTTTGGAACTACGATATTCATATTACAGGAAACTAAAGGTATATCATAACTAAAGAGTTATACGTACATGTTTTGATACCAGTGAATACCAATCCATTCAAATCAGAGCATTATATGTCTAGGGAGTACTATCAAGTGACATGATAGACGTGAGCATGCTATCTCAATGACAAATTGAACATAGTCAGACGATATTACAACTATTAAATTACAAATCATGATACAAGATCAAGCTACAATGTTAACAAATAGATGAAGTAGGTGTATCACTTGTTATTCACAAATTACTATGTACACAGTATAAAAAACATATAAATGTTAGGGGCATAGGCAGGATTTTTGGAATGAGGGGGCAAACTATGCGGCGCACAAAGCACACCATAAAATTTCATGAAACCACATCCTTTTAGGGTGTGACCCCACCTCTTTTTCAATATGCCGGACTTCTTTAATGATCATAGGCAATGTTGAATATCTTTTCAGCTTTACAATGGCATCACAGAAAGACTGGTTTAGCCTTTTCCTTTCATATGTAAGTTGTAGAACAGCTTTTTCTTCCAAAAGCAGCTTATTATTTTGTTACTTTTAAATTTTAATTCTAAAAAAGGAGGGGCATTTGCCTCCCCTGGCTACGCCACTGCATCTTTGTACATGTATACACGCATAAAGTGCAGTTCAAACATTTACAAACTTTTAAGTTACAAAAAAAGCCAAAATCAATAGATATTAATTTGTAAACAATACTAAGCCCCTTATTGCCATTCCCAAGCCATTTCAAAATTGAAAAAAAGTCATCATGGTACTATAGTCTGGCAAGACATCATGGTACATTAACATTGCATGCATTGCATTTGCAATATAATGTTACAGTCTAATGCAAACAAAAACAGGAAGCATGCAGATATGCATTTATAGCATCTATAAGCAAGCTCGGCACTCTGCAATACAAGACAGTAAAAGTGAACAACTAGTGATGGCCAGTCAGTCAACAGGACTCAATGCTGCATCAAGGACCCCTTTAGGTAAGGAAAACCAGTAATATCATAATCATTATTAACTACAACAGGGCTGGAACATCTTGATATTGTGCTCAATGCATGTAAAGGATGCAGTGCTCATTGGGAAAGACTAGGACTGAGATTAGGCCTCCACAATGACACAATAGAACAGATAAAAAGAGATCAAAATAAATGCATTGAGCAAATGAGAGAAATGCTGTCAGAGTGGCTGAAAGGGAATTATGAGGTTTCAAACAACTATCCAAAACCATCACAACATTCACTGTGTATTGCAGTAGCTGGGATTGACAGAAGCCTGGCAGAAACTATAAGCGATGATCCATCATTTAGTGACATCAATAATACACAAGGTAACTGAGAGTAGTTTCTTTGTAACAAGTCAGTAACACAACATTAGAGTAGTTTTTAGTACATTAAAACCTGATACATTAATGCACTACATGTATAATAATAAACAATTGCGTGCTACATCTACATGTATATACATGCATAGCATGCAATTATTGTACGTGCAGTATTACATGCACGTTATGCTGCATGAGTGGATGATCAACACAGTTCGTAACAGTTGGTGTTTTCTCTACACTTTGCAAACTTGTATACAATGTTTTATAAATACATCGCACAAGTTAAATATATTGTTTTGTAAATAAATCGTGGAAGTTACATATGCAGTTTTACAAATATATCTCCATTTTGGCATGTTGCAAAGTAGGAAATGTATACGGGCATTTGCTGGCACATACGCTCCATTGATACACACGTACCCTAAAAACAAATGTTTTGCAGGTTTTAATTTTATAATACAAGTGAACAAAAATTACAATAGCAGATTAATTATGATATGTGATACTATAGGATCCAATAACAGCAGACCTCCATACACAACACAAGAATTGATGCAGCTCTGTACTTGCACCCATTGTGACCCAGAGACAATAATCACCACAGGCTGCCCTCAAAGAAGAGAAGACTTCCATCCTCTTGATATCAAACGACTTTCA